CAAAGGCCACAGTGTGGAGCATAGTGTCCTCTGCCCCATCCAGTCTCAAGTCCAACCTTGGCCACACCTAATGCTTCCCAGGAAAGCCCACAGCCTTCACATTTTCTCACCAATTTTGAACATCTGAGCTTTTCTCAGAAACTGGAGATGGTATCTCAGCTCTATAACATCAAGAAGTTTTCTTTCTGGACATCTGAACTTCAGAGGATTGAGATGGACTTTTAGCTCTAAAGCATTAAAGAGTTCCCTCTTTCTGGATATCAGAGCTTCAAAGGCAGGATGTGGGTCTCAGCTCTAGAACATCAAGGAGGACAACTGAACTTCACCAGAGGTTCCGGCTGCAGTCTGTGTTTTGGGACCTCTGACCTTCACTAGAGGCTTGGAATGCAATCCTGGATCTGGAACTTTGAGGAGGTTGCTGTTTCTAGACATTTGAATTTCACTGGAAGCTGGCACTGGGGTCTCAGTTCTAGAACACCAAGAAGGTATGTGTTTTGGGACCTCTGACATTCACTGAGGCTTGAAATGCAATCCTGGATCTGGAACATTGAAGAGGTTGCTCTTTCTGGACATTTGAGTTTCACTGAAGGCTGAAGTTGGAGTCCCAGCTCTATAACTTCAAGGAGGTCCCTCTTTCTGAACATCTGAGCTTCATCCAAGGCTGAAACTGGAGTCACAGTTCTAGAATAGCAAGAATGTTTATCTTTTTGGACCTCTGGGCTTTGCTGAAGGCTTAAAATAAAATTTTTGATCTGGAACATCAATGCAGTTGCTCTTACTGGACATCAGATGCTCAAATTGGAGTACCACCTCTGGAACATCAAGGAGGACACCCTTTCTGGACATCTGAGTGTCATAAGGGGATGAAGTTGGAGTCCCAGCTCTAGAAAATCAAGGTGGCCTCTCTTTCTGGACATCTGAGCTTTATCAGAGGTTGGAAATAGAGTCCCAGCTCTAGAAATATAAGGAGATAACTCTTTCTGGATGTCTGAGCTTCATCAAAGGCTGAAGCTGAAGTCTCAGCTCTAGAACTGTAAGGAGGTTCATTTTTCTGGATATCTGAGCTTCACCAGAGGTTAGAGATGAAGTCCCAGTTCTAGAAACGCAAGGAGGTAAGTCTTTCTGGATGTCTGAGCTTCATCAAAGGCTAAAGCTAAAGTCTCATCTCTAGAACTGCAAGGAGTTTCATCTTTCTGGATATCTGAGCTTTACCAGAGGTTGGAGATGGAGTCCCAGCTCTAGAAATGCAGGGAGGCAACTCTTTCTGGATGTCTGAGCTTCAAAGGCTGAAGCTGGAGTCTCAGTTCTAGAACTGCAAGGAGGTTCATGCTTCTGAATATCTGAGCTTCACCAGAGTTTGGAGATGGAGTTCTAGCTCTAGAAATGTAAGGAGGAACTCTTTCTGGATGTCTGGGCTTTGTCAAAGGCTGAAGCTGGAGTCTCAGCTCTAGAACTGCAAGGAGGCTCACCTTTCTGGATATCTGAGCTTCGCCAGAGGTTGGAGGTAGAGTCCCAGCTCTAGAAACACAAGAAGATAACTCTTTCTGGATGTCTGAACTTCATCAAAGGCTGAAGCTGGAGTCTTAGCTCTAGAACTGCAAGGAGGTTCATCTTTCTGAATATCTGAGCTTCACCAGAGGTTGGAGATAGAGTCCCAGTTCTAGAAACGTGAGGAGGTAACTCTTTCTGGATGTCTGAACTTCATCAAAGGCTGAAGCTGGAGTCTCAGCTCTAGAACTGCAAGGAGGTTCACCTTTCTGTATATCTGAGCTTCACCAGAGGTTGGAAATAGAGTCCTAGCTCGAGAACACAGAACATCAAGTTAGTCTCTCTTTCTGGATGACTGAGCTTCCAAGGCTAAATCTGGAGTCTCGGCTCTAGACCATCAAGGAAGTCCATATTTCTGGATATCTCATCTTCATCAAAGGTTGTAGATTGAGTCCCAGCTTTTAAACAGCAAGGAGGTCACTCTTTCTGGACATCTTAGCTTCATGAAAGGCTGAAGATGGAGTCTCAGCTCTATAACATCTAAAAGGTCTCTCTTTTTGGATATCTGAGCTCCATCAAAGGCTGGAAGTGGAATCTCAGCTCCAAAACATTAAGAATGTCCTTCTTTCTGTATTTCTGAGCTTCACTGGAGAATGGAGATGCAGTTCTGGATCTAGAACATCAAAGAAGTTCCTCTTTCTGGACATCTGAGCTTCATTAAAGGCTGAAGATGCTGGAGTTTTAAAGGACATTCCTCTTTGTGGACCTCTAAGCATCACTGAAGGCTAGAGATACAGTCCTGGCAATCAAATACAAAGGACATTCTTCTTTCTGTATAGGAGAGCTTTATCAGAAGCTAAAGCTGGAGTCTCAGTTCTGCAACATCAAAAGAGAGACAAATTCTGGATGTCCAGGGTTTATCAGAGGCTAGAGCTGAAGTCCTGGCTCTGGACATCAAGTGGGCTCCTCATTCTGGATGTGAAACTTCATCAGAGTCTGGAGCTCAGGTCCCAGTATTGGAGCATCAAGTGGGTCCTGCGTTTCTTGAGCTTTGTCAAGGCTGAAGATGAAGCTTCTGATTAGAACGTCAAGGAGGTCCCTCTTCTGGACATGTGAGCTTCCTCAGAGGCTAAAGTTGGGGTCTTCAGCTCTGATTCTTCAGTGGGGGACTTGTTCAGGAAGCCTGAGCTTTCTTGGAGATTCTGTTCACCAAAAGCAGGAGTCTCCCCTTTTTTGGCTAGCCATAGGCTTGTTTAGGTGGGGTAAATTCTGGAGGCCACCTTCTCCTCTTATCACTGTCATCTGGACTGTCTCTCGGCTCTGTCCATGTCACAGCCTTCATCAGGGACTCAGGTTGGGTCTCTTAGGTTGGGCCATTGCTGTGGTCCCAAGGTTATTCTTGCTGGACTTGCCTGCAGTTCTCTTGAGGTACCTCTATGTGAGGAGGAGGAGGGGAGGAGGGAAGAGGAGGAGGAGAGAAGGAGGGAAGAGGAGGAGGAGAGAAAGGAGGGAAGAGGGAGGAGGAGGAGGAGGAGAAGGAGGAGGAGCAGGGACAGAATGGAATCTCCAAG